GGATCCAAGAAATCCGCGCGGAGCGCCAAAAGTTTATGTGCCATGCAGCTGTTTCTTCTTCTAACCTCTCGCTTCTGGTTCGCCTCGCTTCTCGTCGCTTCGCTTCCTCCTCCTCGCCCCTCTCCTCGTCTACCTCGTGCGGCTCGTGCCCCTGCGTCGCTTCCTCCCGCTCCTCCTCATGCCCCCTCCTCGTTCCCGTCAGAGCGCCGTTCTCCTACCTCTGGAGGCGAGCGGCCCCGCCTGTGGACCGCGCGACGTTCCCCTCCCACTGCCGCCGTCGATGGCGAGCGGCTACGCTGGCGGTGGCGGCGACGACCACAACCACGACCACGACCACACCGGCCGCAACGGCCGTGGCGACGGCCACGACCACGACGGCAACGACCACGGCCACGGCCACCCAGAGTTTCGAAGGCAGAGTCGGGCCGTGTTCAGGGGATGCCCCTCGGAGACCCCGAGAGGACTAGAAGCGCCAACAAACATCGAGCCCTGATGCGACGCCGTCGACGGCGGCGGCGGCGCAGGCGGCGACAGCGGCGAGGGCGACTACGACGGTGGCGGCGGCGGCGACAGATGCGGCGTCGTTTCCGGGATGTGGCCACAGGTGGCTTGCTTGCTGCGGGTCGTGGCGGAGCTGACCGACGAGTGCTCGAGGCCGAGCGGGCCTCCCTCTCTCGGGGAGAGGGGCTGCCCGAGGGTTCCCGCACGCGGCCTGGTGGTCACCCTCCGCCCTGTCTCCCTCCGCCTCGCTCGCTTTCGCTTCCCGGGTCCCTGACTCCCTCCTCCGGCCCGCCCTTCCTCCGTCCCTCCCTCAGCCTCCTCCCCCCTCCTGGCACACGGGTCCCTCGTCCCCTTTCTTCGAGGAGGGGCAACGTTTTTCATTGCCGAACGGGTCCGTACCTCTCTGTTCTTGCCCCTTCGCATCGCGAGCGGGGCGGGCGGGCCTTCGCAGGCGGCTCGGGCGGGGCATGATGAAGTGTGGCATCCATCGCGTCGCACAACAACGCGTTGCGACCCTATCGAGTGGGTGGGGTTTTCTGTGGAACACGATCCGAGCGAATGGTTTGCCGCAGCGGGCGAGTGCGGCGCCGCCATGCGAGCTCCCCCGCAGGAGGCGCGGGTCAAGCTCACTGACAGGCACGATCCGTGTGAGGGGTGGGTCGGAGGGGGGGAGCCTCGCCGCCGTGCGAGTCCCTCCAATTTGGGCCGCGGTGTGGACGCCCACGGGGCTGTGAAAGGCGCGAGGGGTGTGCCGAAACGCGCGGGAGGGATGGGCGCATGGCAGGATGGGGCCCGACGGGGCGGAGGAGGAGAGCGACGAGCAGGAGGAGAGGACGGGGGCGGGCACGAGGCGCGCCGGCGGACTGGCTGTGCGCAGGTCTGGTCGGGGAGGGAACGAGGGAGGGAACGCGGGCGGGGGGGAGCGGACGACGACGCCGACGACGCCGACGATGACGCCGACTACGCCGACGACGCCGACGACGCCGCCGCCGCCGATCACGACGACGACGAGGACGAGGACGAGGAGGACGAGGACGAGGACGAGGACGAGGACGAGGACGAGGACGAGGACGAGGACGAGGACGACGACCATGGCGTGGACGTGGGCGTGGGGTGAGGTGAGGTGGCACGGGCTGCACTGCGGCCACAACGCGAGGAGCCGACAGTACTGGTAATCTGCCGCGTGGTTGCGAACGGCTCCGGCGAACTCTCGTGGGCGCTTTTCGGGCCTTCTGGATCTCCACACCAAGCCCGAAGACTGCCAAGATCGGCGCGCGAGGGCCCAAGATGCCTCCAAGACGGCCCAAGATGGATCCAAAACGGCCCAATATGGCAGCAAATTGCCCAAGAGGCGTTTCAGATGGTCCAAGTTGCTCCACAATGACACCCAAAAGGCCCGAGGGAGGCCAAATTCATTCCCCAGATGGCCCAGATCCATAGATTTTCCATTGGTTCTTGTGTGCGTTTCGCATGCTGGCCATCTCGGGCTCTCCACAAGCTCATACGCGCCCAAAGGCTCCGACTAAGGCTCCCAAACGACAGATCAGTCGTTTCCGCGATGACTTCCCACGACTTGCATCCCTTCCTTCGATGTACACTATCTCGGAAGCTTCCGTTCGTCGTGGATCGGATGTACATCGCCCAACAGCGCTCAAGAGCGCCTGATATCGCCCACCAAATAGCGCCTAATAGACACCAAACAGCACACACTAGCCACCGAATAGTTCAATCAGCGTCCAATAGCCACCAGATCGCGCGTTCACACGCGCCACCTGCGGGAGGTGCATTCTGTCCGCTTTGCGGGCGGCTGGGCGCGCTCTTGGGCGCCATGGGGACTACCAACAGCTGATGTGAGTTGCTCTCCAACCTCCCCGTTCCCCCCCTCCTCCCCCCGCGCCACGCGAGGCTGGAGCTGGGCGAAGCGTGCTCGATGCTGGGGGCGTTCGAGCCCCGGCAGCCTCGCCGGCAGCCGCCGCAGGCGCCCGTCGAGGCGGCGATGGGGGCGGGGCGCGAGGGTGAGCTCACGAGCTGGCTGTGAGCCCTGGGTGGAAGTCTCGGGGTGCTGGCCTTCTCAGAAGGTTTGGATTTTTTTGTTACGCGTAGTGCATCCCGGCACGCCTTAGATGTTGAAACGATGCGACGTGAAACGAAGACCAGCCTTACTTGCGAGGAGCGCACCGAACGTGTAACGAAATGCAGCCCGCAAATGCGAGCGAAAGCTGACGAGGAGGACGACGAGGAGGAGGAGCGAGGGGGGGACGAGGCGGAGGGGCAAGGTCGCTGTGGTGCAAGGCTCGACAGGCCTCCGCCCTCCTGAGCAGTTTTCTAGGCCTTCTCCGAAGGCGCAGACGGCTTCTCGGAAGGCCGGAGGGCTTCTCAGAAGCCCCGCCGCCTTCTGAGAACGCCTGCCCCGTCTGACGTCCCCATTGGGCTCGCCCCCAAGCCAGGCGAGGGAACACAGACAAGGATCAAGGCGCGTGAATGGGCGGCAGTCCATGCTTCCATGCGACATCGACGCGTTCCGTGGCCGATTCGGGCGGCACCGGTCTCATGTTTCGGGGATGTTTTTCCAGATCCGTGGATGTGGCGCCCATGCGTCAGATCTAGGAGTCAATGGGAAGGAGAGGCGGAGCTCACCGAAGCGAGGCGCCCATCGAGCCTCACGGAACCTCTTCCGTATCCTCCTCGCCTTCGCGAGACGATCCCCCGTCTGGACGAGCATTTCGCAGAAGCAGGATGCGATCGGAGGTTGAGGAGGTGGACGGGAGCAGCGGGGATGAGGGCGAGATGTGTGGGAACAGACGCAGAGTGATGAAGACCAGGAGGAGGAGAATCAACAAGGAGGAGGAAGTGTGACAACGAGGGGAAGCTTCGACGGAGTAGGATCGCGAGGAGGATGATGTTGTCTGGCTTCCGTGTGGTTCTGAAACAAGCGCCTCGCAGCGGCAGTAGCACGAGTCAGGAGGGGAATAGGAATATCTGGGAATCCTGCAGATTCCCATTGGGATACCGCCCGAGCCAAGGCGCGGGAATTATTTATGTTCCTTTTGATTTGCGCGGTGCTAAAGACATCGTTCCGCGAAAACCGCCCCCAATAATTCTTTGATTACGGTGCATTGCTAACGACAACCCTGGGGGAGGGGTTCTTAATTGCTTGTTGCGGTTATAGGAAGAGGAGGAAGGGGAGGAGGAGGAGGAGGAGGTGGAGGACGAGGACGAGGGCGAGGACGAGGACGAGGAGTTTATGGGGGAGGTGGATTGGCAGTTGCGGAGTGGTGAGGAGGTGGGGGAGGAACAGGAAATTGGTAAGACGGAATTTGATAAGATGGGGGGGAGGAGGGAGGATGACGAACAGCGGGGAGGCCTGTTGGTCCCGGCCCACAGTGGTCCCCCGAGCTATGTCGGGGGCGGCAAAGAGGGGGGTGATGAGTAGGGGGGATGAATATCATGACGTTGGCCCTGTTACGTCCCAGATTTCATGGGAACGCCCTGGTAGTGTTATATATACACATAATTTTCAGCACACTTTCAAAAACACGTTTTTCAATAGTTTCTGGCTCCCGTTTTTTTTTTTGTCGTTTCAAGGTCTCCGCGGCGATGAGTTTCTTGATCGTTTCTCAACGACAATCCAAAGGATCGTTTCTTTATAGTTTCTGGCTTCGTTTCTTCATCGTTTCCAGGCCTGCCTCGCAACTTGATGTGTTGTATCCGGGATTGACAGGCAACGCGCGGGAAGAGCTCGACCGGCTCTCTACAAAGGGTTTCTCTGAGCTCTTATCGTGCGTTGCCTGTCAATCGCTGTCCGATCCCGTGCGCGTCAGAGCCGGAGACATCGTCGGTGTCATAACGGCGGCGGCGGCGACATCCTCAATGTTCCCGCTCCCCCTGGGCTCAGGATCGAAGTTGCCTGGTTGAGACCGTCTCCAATACGTCTTCAACGCGTTTCCAACCCCCCATCCAGGTGGGTCGGACAGCGACAGACAGGTTACGCACGATAAGAGCTCGACGGTCTCTCCAAACAGCTTCTCTGTTGCACCTTCAGCCCGCTGCAGTCGCCACCTTCCTCCTATGCTGTCTGGTGCTGCTACTGGCTGTTGACACTGCCTGCTGCGAGTGCTCGCTGCTGCTGATGCCCGCTGCGCCGCCCGCCCCGTATTCATTATCATCGGCACTCTCGTTCTGTGTCGCATGTTCACCAACTCGTTTGTTTACAGTTTCCAGGGGGCCGTTGACTTACCGTTTCCAGTTTGCGCCGGCTCGTTTAAACATAGTTTTCAATTGATCGCGCGGACACGTTGTTTGATCGTTTCCAGGGTCTGTTTTTCAATCGTTTCCTGGTGCCCACTGTTGGCTCACAAGAGTCAAAAGCTGGAAACTCGAAAGAAACGTCCAGGGCGCTTCCGAGACACACTAAGCGCTTTTTTCATTACATCCCTGGCCCCCCCTTTGGGTCGCGCACATGCCGCCGGCCATGATTTGCGCCCCCCCTGTTGGACGCCCCCCTCTTGGCCGCTTGGATTTGGGCCGCCGCGTATCCCTGACGCCGCGCACACCAAAGGTCACTCTTGTCCAGGGGCCTAGGGCCACTCTTGCGTGTACAGTCGGACCGAGGTATGATTGGGGGATTGGGAAAGGGGGGCTTACGAAATTTGCTGCATGCAGCTGGCTTCGGCCTCACTGAGGGGCCCATTCCTCGATACATAGCCCCCTCCGGCGCAGGGAGGAGCCTTGAGAATCAACCACGTAAGCTGATTCTCAAACCCCCTCTTTGCTATCCCCCCCTTTCGCCCGATCCGATATGAGATCGAGGTCCGTCTGAGGAGGGCACCCCAGTCTTCGTCCGTCGTGCCTGCTGGATTCTCTCGCGCATCCTGGGGAGGGTGCCCTTGGATGTTCCGTGCGTTCTGGCCGGCGGAGGGCCTCCTGTTTCCGAGGGAGGCGCTTCTGGCCCGGGCCCGACTGTTATAGCCGGTGCGGGTCGACCAGGGCCGCGACGAGCCCAGGCGGCGGCGGCGGGAGGGGCGGAGGGGTACGCCCGTGCCGCCTCCGCGCGAGGCGCCTGCGCCGTCGCCGCACGGGGGCGGGCCGTCCTCGCCGTGCTCGGGCCCGCGCAGGAGCCTCGCTTCTCGGGGTCGTCGTCGTCGTCGTCGTCGTCGTCGTCGTCGTCGTCGTCGTCGTCGTCGTGGTCGTCGTCGTCGTCGTCGTCGTCGTCGTCGTCGTCGTCTTTCGACGTCTGACATCCTATCCATCCCTCCCCCCCCTCTCCATGGCGCAGGTATTTCTCTATCCGCGGACGCGTGTCGTAGCTGGCCGGGAACTAAACACCCCATCGTGTGATGCGCAGTCGGAAAAAGGGAAGCTTATGAGGCCTTGGCGACCTGGGGGACCTCTGTGGCCCGTGGTGCCTCTGAGACATGCGACGTTTGTGGGATTTGTGGAACCTGTCGGACCTGTGGATCCTGTCTGTGGAAAGCGGGACCTTTGAGACTGCGAGGTTTGTTGGACCCGTGGCACTGGCGGGACTTGCGTGACTTGCGGGACGTCCGGAATTTGTCGATCTTGTTGGTCCCGTGGCGCACGCGAGACTTTCGACGCCTGTGGGACTTGTGGGACCTGTGGAACCCGTCAGATCATTTGGGCCTTTGTGACCTGTGAGGCGACCAATGACACTTGTGGGTCCTGTGGAACTTGTGGTGCCAGCGAGACCTGCACGATCCAGAGAAGTGGCCCACGCTTGGGCGGGAGTGCCATTCTGAAGCACCGTAGCACAGCGCCGATTCGAAAACGAGGCCCACGATGCAGCGAGAGCACCACCATCCTTGAAACATTGTACACAATCGGATGGTGGAAATCATCTCACAAAAGCCATGTCGCGCAAATCCTGTTTGAAAAATGTACGACGCGGAGGGATCGATTTCGGAATAGTTGAAAGAACAGCTCACTCGCCCAGATCAGGTGTAAACAGCTAGTACGGAGATAGGGTAGCCGCTATCCGCACATAGTCGGGGAAGGGAGGAGGGTAGTATTCATATCGTGTACCATTATATGGTTTAGAAAAAGACACGAGATTCTGAGAGCTGTTTGCCCCTTCCCTCGTCTTCCTAAGCTCCCTTGACAGGGACAGGAAAGAGGGGTTGAACTCCGCCGGGCGACCACAGTCAGCCAGACAATGGGCGCCGGGGCTTCCTTCCGAGGCCCAGAGACTCCAGAAACCTTGTGAGATGCGAGGCTGGCCCGGACAGAAGGAACACCGCTGGTCGAGGTGGGCTCATCCGCGCCGTCGTCCTCGCCCTCACTCTCCCCCTCCCGCCGCCGCAGTCGAGACCGTCCTGCAATTTCCGAAGACACCGACAAGCATTCCACACCGACAGAAGAACCCCCATCGCCTTCGCCTCACTCCCCCATCCGCTCGCACCGCCCTTCAACTCGCCCCCGGCCCCTCTCTCATCCGCCCTTCGTCGTCCCTTTTCCCCGCCCTCTTACCCTGACCACGGAGACAACCCCGCCGCCGACAAGGACGACGTCTTCGCTTGTGCCGCCGCCGCTGCCGCATGCGATCCCGACGACGGCGAGGAAACGAACGACTGCATATCATATGCGGCCGATGGCCACGCCGCCGCCGATTGGCCGACCACGAGCCGCCGCTCCGCGGACGACCTTGGACCGATACGATGTCTGCGCCGCCGCCGCCGCCGCGGACGTTCAACGCCAGGGATCGACGCCGGCGGACGCCAGAGCCCGGCGCAATGATTCTGCGCACGACGTGGACCTCCAGAGGCCGGCCCCCCCCCCGACCAGAGACCCACTTCGTGACGCGTTCTGTGGCGCCCCTGGGGCCCTCCTGGAGGAGGAGGAGGAGGAGGAGGAGGAGGAGGAGGAGGAGGAGGAGGATGAGGAGCGGCCCAAGACACCCCGTCCTGCTCTTCTTCTCCTGGCGCGAGGAGGCCTGGCACTCGTGTCGGCGCCGGAGAACCGCGACCGGCGGTGGCGAATCCGCGACTCTGCGACCGGCGACCGGCGGCGACGGCGGTCGGCGGCGGCGGCGGGCGGCGGCGGCGGCGACCGGCGGCGGCGATCGGCGCCGACCGCCCAGCGCGCCTGGCTCGCCCCCGCTGGCAGCCGCCGGCGCGCCGCCGCCGGCGGCGGAGCCGCGCGAGGCGGAGGCGCCGCACGAGGCGGCGCGCGTCAGCCACGCGCAGAGGGGGGAGGGGGGAGGGGGGACTTCTTAGAAGCACCCCTGCTTCTTAGAAGGCGCGGGGCCAGCGCCTTCTGAGAAGCAGCCTCCTTCTAAGGAGCCCTCCCCCCTCCTTCCACCCCCTTGTGCGCGCCGCCGAGCGCGGCCCTGCCGGAGCGGGGGGGGAGGGGGGGGCGATCGGGGACGAGGGCGGGCGATGGGATGCCAAAGGTAAGTCGGGCATGCCCGTCTACCGGAGGAAGATCCCCCAAATGAGGCATTATGCTCCAGCCCACTTCTTAGCCTGAACCGCCAGGAAGAATTGCGAGCACCAAGAACGTACCGAAGCAGGAGGGTTTTCACGCATCGGGCACTGGGAGGCGATGCTCGTTCGACACTGTCTCGATACTTTCCTGGGTGCTCGAAATTATTTCATCGCTTCGCTCATTCCGCCGGCCCTCGAGCGCTCTATGGGGCCTCTTTGAAGCCTCTTGGGGGCCTCTTTGGGGCCTCCTAGGGGCCTCTTGGGGGCCTCTTGGGGGTCTCTTCGGGCTCCTTGGCGGCGTTTTTGGGCGGGGTAGTCGAGTGCCCCCCCCCCTCGGAGGCCACGATCCTCCAGAGGGGTGTCGAAAAAAGGCCCTCAAAACCATATCTCAGTAGACCTGGTCGGGCTGCGGTCGGGATACTTTTCACCGGGGGACCCCCAGGGGCCGCCCCGCGCGCGCGAACTAGAAATATTGTTTCCCAGTTGCCGGAGATCTTAGCACGCTGGCCCGTTGGGCCGGCGAATTTCTCAGATTCGGTCCTTAAGAAGGATGAGAGCAACATATCAGAGCCCCGAATCATCAGGGGTAACTCGGGTCAGGGATAACTCGGGTTCGTTTTTCGGGAATCCAAAACCGAGTTACCCTGGACCCGAGTTACCCCGGATAACTCGGGCGTCCAGAGCCCCACATCATCAGGGGTAACTCTGGTCAGGGCTAACTCGGGTTCCTTTTTCGGGAATCCAAACCCGAGTTACCCCGGACCCGAGTTACCCCGGATAACTCGGGCTCCCAAACATAAGGTTAGAGACGGGACGCAAGGGGAGAGGGGAGAGGCGCAAGCTATACAGGCGCGCTCGCGCCATGTCTGACACGCTGCCCTTCCCACCCATCCCCTCCGATGGCGCGCTTTCCTTTCTCGACCCGCCGACGCGAGTGAGAGTGGACTCGGTCGGGGAAATTTGTAGCCAGAGTACAGCGTCTTTGAGCCAAGGTGGCTCCAAAGAGTGTTCGCGCGTCCTCCTGCTCCTGATCCGCCGGCGGCTGCGGCGTGGCCGTCGAGCCCTTCGTCATCGTCGTCGTCGTCGTCGTCGTCGTCGTCGTCCTTCTCCTCCGATTCCACGCCGCTCCCCTTGTCGCCCTCGCTCGCCCTCTCCTCCTCGCCCTCGCACCCCCCCCCACGCCAGCCATGATCTCAGGGAGGTCCGGCTGCACTTCGGGCCCGAAGGCCGTGGGGGCCTCGGGGCCCGCTTCCCCCCAGGGCGACCCCCCGCTCCTGGGGCCGCGCCGCCCGCAGGCGGCCGCCCCGCCCGCGGCCCACCGCAACGCCGTGCCGGCCCCGGGCGGCGCGCAGCGGCGCGTTGGGCTGGCGGCCGCGGTGGCCCAGGAGGCGCGGGCCGCTCTGTTGACGGCGGCGCCGGCGCGGCGGTCGTCGTCGTCGTCGTCGTCGTCGTCGTCGTCGTCGTCGTCGTCGTCGTCGTCGTCGTCGTCGTCGTCGTCGTCGTTGATCGCAAATAGTTCTAGGCGGTTCGCGTAACCCCACCAGCCCATCAAGAAAGCATGCCCAGACGGGTTGCCCGGATCAGGGATCTGGAGGGGAATGCAGTGGAACAGAGGGCGGGGTAGGACGTCATGCCCCGAAAGAGTTTTGAATGGAGGAGGAGGAGGAGGAGGAGGAGGAGGAGGAGGAGGAGGAGGAGGAGGAGGAGGAGGAGCAGGAGCAGGAGCAGGAACAGGAGCAGGAGCAGGAGCAGGAGCAGGAGGAGGAGGAGGAGGGAAGGGAGGAGGAGGGGGAGGAGGAGGAGGAGGAGGAGGAGAAGGAGGAGGAGGAGGAGAGATAGGGATGAATGGATGGATGGATGGATGGACGGAGTCCTCCCAGCTAGGCGCAACTGCGGGAGCGCGGGCACGGCCCCACCAGCAGGGGGCAGCAGGGCCGACGGGCGGCGTTTGCAGCAACCCCGCTGCGTCCGCCTTGGCGAAGAGCAAGCACCGCCTGCGGGGATAGGAGAAAGGGAGGGGGAGGACAGGGGACGGACCGAGGAACGCCCGGCTGATCCTGCCCGCGCGATTCCCCTAGGCCCACGGAGGAGGAGACGCTCCTTGGCCCTGGAAGCGCATTCGATTGAGAGGAGGGGAAGGCCCGCGGAAGGGGGCCTGACGGCGACCCCCTCCCTCAGGGACCCCCGTCCGCATTCCCAGCCGCCACGTGTAGGACGCAGCTGCGAGGAGGGGGAGGGGGAGGAGGCGGGAGGAAGGAGGAGGAGGTGGTGGAGGAGGTGGTGGAGGACGGGGAGGAGGAGGAGGAGGAGCAGGAGTGGGAGGAGGAGGAGGAGGAGGAGGAGGTGGGGGAGGAGGAGAAGAAGTAGAGATAGGGGGATGGGGGGAGAAGGAGGAACAGGAGGAAGAGGAGGAGGAGGAGGAGGAGGAGGAGGAGGAGGAGGAGGAGGAGAAGGAGGCGGAAAGCAAGAACGAGCAAAAAGGCCATAGGTCTCTTGGGTGCCCTCGGAGTCTCTTCAGAGTTATTTGCGAGCCTCTTGGGGTCCTCTTCCGGCGTCTTGGGGTTCTCTTGGCAGTCTCCGGGGGGGGTCTCTTGAGGCGTGATTGGTGCCTCTGGGGGTCTCTTGGAACCTCCCAGAGGGCTACTCGGAGCTTCTTCTGGAATCTTGTGGGGGCC